TTCATTCGTTCATTCGTTCATTCGTTCATTCATTCATTCATTCAATGCGAGTGTAATTAAGGATTTGCACTACGAGTGACAATTACAAATTCTCTTTAAAATGGTGAAATTTGAATGAATTTTCAAGTATCACAAGTAGCGTATAAAATCTTTAATTGCTTGCGCCTTCTTACATCTTGGCCAATAACAATGTAGTGATTTTCTCAGTCATACAACTAATTAATTAGTTATTAGTCAATCGATTTTTTAAAACTCTACAACGTTTAAACATGCAGGCATTATAAAATTACCAGCTTTTAGGTTTAAAGTCTTTCAAAAAGACAGCAAAGTATGGCGAATTGTCGGGGTTAAGTCCATGAATGACTGGATGGTAAACTCTGGCAGCTCCGTCCTGGCAATCCAGAGGCGGTGTAAATCCTTTTGTGACCGCCTCGTGTTGTGCTTGATGGAAAGGTCGTTCGTCCGTGACCCAGCCAGTGTCAACAGCCGTCATGTAGATGCGATCCATCTGATATTCCAATCCACTTGTTCGTGTCAACATATTCAAAGCAGCTTTTGCCATATTGGTGTGCGGATGGCGATGACCCTTCGAGATGCGAGAAAACTGCCCCTCCATTGCAGACACGTTCACGACAAATTTTCGCTGGAAAGGACTTTGTTTTAACAGTGGTTTAAGTTTTGCTGTCAAAATGAACGGGCCTACTGCATTGATGGTCAAGACCTGCAGAAGTTCTTGCAGTGGAACCTCGTCTAGATTGTATGTCCAACTGTTTCTCAAGCGGGTGTCCAATTGTTCTCCATGTTTGTCCTTCCTTCCTTCTGGAAAATCACTCGACTTTGCCTCGAATGGAAGAGATCGACATGGTGTAGAAGAAGTCATGGAATTGAATTGGTCCAATGCTTGGCTCTTATTGACAATCAGATTGTTCGCATCTTTTGTCAAGTTTTGCAGGCGCTTTACTTCCTCGGAGATAAGAGGTGCATAATATTGAAGAGGCCGAGAGATTGTTTGGGCAGCGTTATTGATTAAAATATCCAGATGAGGGATGTTTTTCTTGACGCTCTCAAGGAACTCGTTGATGGAGCGCATATCTTGAAGATCCAGTCGGACGATCTTCAGCCTGTGTTTCCAGACACTAAAATCTTTCTCATTGCTAAAGTGTTCAACTGCATTGGCTGGAAATCGAGTTGTCGCGATGACGAAACATCCATCTCTCAACAAGCGGAGAGTAGTTTCGAAGCCAATCTTGATTCGGCCACCTGTCACGATAGCGTACCTTCCTTTCAAATCGCACGTAACTTTCTTCATGTCACTGTTCAAACTATGACAATCATCGCACACGTGATCAAAACCAGCTGTGGAATCGCACATGTAGCACTTCCTTCGGCTTTCATTTGATTCAGCGGTCATTCGTTTCAACTCGTTAAAGACATTTTTGCGAGGTCGACGTTTATCGCTATATGCCGCTGTAGGTAACGCAACGGCAGATTCATCGTTGTCATTTTGTCGTTTCCTCTTCAGTGCATTATTCAGATGAGCTTTTCCCTTCAAAAGACCAGGATGAGCGTCCAACAAACGATGGATATCTAGCAGATTATTTCCGAAATTGAGGACGTCGATGCTAGTTTTTAAAGCGTCAGCGACAGGTACCGACTGATCGCGCGTCGTGAGTTTTAGGATTGCGTGATGAGTGTCTTCAGACTCTGTGCCATTTTCCTTCAATATTTTGCCCAGCCGTTCCTTGATCTCGAGGAATCTTCCGTGGCCACAATTTATCCAGACGTGCGACACTTTCGAGTGTTGAATAAACTGGCATAATGATGTTAATTCGGTTAAAATTTGGTCTGGTTGTAGAGTTCGACAATCAAGGATGTACCTGTTACAATCGCTGAACGCTTCAGTGGACGCCAGATCTGCTATTCCTGTCACTACGATCGATTTATAGCGATATCCTCCGTGATTCAGTTCCATTTCAACAACTCTTCATAAAAAAATACCGTAGAGAAACATTCGTTGTTGGTCACGAACAACCGGTCCCTCTTATTTATTTGGTGTACTATTGCCGAGTTCCCACTCAAGTTGCATCAGCAATGAGAATGACGTCATCGTGTCCAGGGACAATCCCCCGTAAGATATTAGCGCAGATCTGGTTGACAGTTGCGAAAATGAAATGGAAATCCAAAAATGTCGTCGGCATCGGAAAAAAAAGAAACCTATGTTACAGCTAGCGTACTTAAATGGTAAAATGATTCTGCCTTTGGTGACTTGAACTTTATTCGTGTCACGCGACGTTGCGCAACAGTCAACTTATCCACCGTGACATGGGCGATCGTATGTTTGTTGAGTGAGTTTGGAAAGCCAGGAGTGGAATTCTCGGAATACACGGAATATCCAGAATCCTCGGAATGACCGAAATCACAGACAAATAAACTAAAAAAAAAAGAAACAAAATCGAAAAGATGCAAATACAAAATTTTCTTTATACTAAACCGGCATAATTAATAGAGAGGAATGGTTGTGAACTTTTGCGGCAGTAACTTTAAATTAGCAGTAGCATTTGCCACCACAGACCAAGCTTGCACTGTCGATAATACCAAGTAAGACAATGTTTTCAGATTAAAATAGTTCATCAAACTTTACTGCACTTATTTCAGTGCTTGCCCTCGACTTTCTTTTTTCTTTCTTAAAAAGTATTTTCCTCTGACGACAGAGAATACGGTGAAAGAATACTCGTAGTAGCCTGAGATAACCGCGCTGGGAATATTGCTAATTGTTCGATTGTGCTCGATTGGCTATGCCCGGAGTATGTCAATGCGTAGCACTTGCTTTAGAAGGAATCATAACAGTCCAGCTCTCTTAGGTACCCCGGCATCTCTAGAACACGAGTAGTCCCTCTCGTCTAGCGTGACCGTAAATAAACTTCGAGGGAAAATATAGCCGCGCGAAATCTGGCCGCGCGGGAAAAAAAATTCTCGCAGGTTTCACTTTCCCGTCACGCACCACGAACTGAACGAAAGAGGGACTACTCCTACCACTCTAAGACATCTCTTATGCTAAAAGGTTATGTTCTACCAGACTTTGTTACGCAAGAGTTAAATATGTATACTTGCCGGCATATAAAGAAGCCTAACCCATTTATCATACTATCACGAAAAACTCCATAAATTTGTAAACATTGTAGAAAAGTAAATTAAAGTAGGAAAACAAACAAATTCAGTTACCCAATCTCTCTCGTGTTCTCAAATTCTCATTTGTTTTTTGACGGCATTATTGAGAAATTTGAGACTTTTTTCTGTTGAAAATAAAATAAACATGATTACGCTACTACAGATCTTGTTCAAAAAATAGGTACGAAATTGCTATAATGCTGTGAGAACAAAGGCCGCAGGCGAGTGTTGCCGAAGCTGTAAACTTTGCAATGAATAGATTCCGTTGCAAATAATTCTAATTACATTTTAGATTGTAATTTTAATTTTTTTTAGTGTTCTAAATATTTATCTTTTGCATTTAAGTACTGTAGGTTCATTCTCAATGTTCATTGTCCCAAATTAGTCCGCTAAATACCTTGACACTTACACAGTATGAAGGTACAAATCTCCATGATCTTATCTTATCTTATCTTCAGTTCGAATTCTCTCGAACTTTAGTTTCCATGACAGCTTCCATCTATAATTCAATAGAAGCAAGGAGAAAATGATTTCTATTTCTTTTAGAAAACACTGCTGGTAAGAGAAAGGAAAATCACACGTTATGATCAAAATACACATTCTCTTTGGACGTGCCATCATTACGTCAACAGCTCGTGCCTGTTTTACGTTTCTATCGAGTTACTGAGAAGTAGTTTTCTCAAGCAATAAAGTCCAACTTTTCCCTCTATCTAATTGAGTTCATACAAGAGACGATGAAAATCATCGCTCGCATTATCGCAAATCTCCCCTGAACCAACTTAACCGAATTCCTGAAGAATTAAAACTCCTGTTTTTCAGCCCTTCTCGTTGCAGGACTGTGCATTTTGCTGTTGATGGAAGTCATTTCAACAACAATAAGGCACGATTTACTTAGTTTCTCTAATTTCTTGCAAAATAATGCGGTGTATTGTAAGGATAACGAGAAGACCATCTAACAATTTCGATATAAGCAGTATCTGATGTAAGTCGAGAGCCGCTTTATATGTCTCATGTACGCATTCGGAACCTACAATCCTGGACAATACGTAGGGGACACTTCGTCATTTTTCTTTAAAACAGCATTTCTATTTATTCCCCCCCGGAAAATGTTGGGTGTCAAGAGTCAAAGATGTGAGTCGCAAATATATTGTAGAGTCAAAGAAATTCAACATTGTTCAGGGGGGAGGGGGATGGGCTAGGAAAAGATCTTTGTAAGGCTATTTCGATTCTATGACTTTAAATTGTTGGTTTCTCGCAGAGAAAAAGTGTCCCAAACCCTTATGATCAGGATCTTATCTCTATCTCTCTCACTCTCTCTCTTTCTCTCTTTTTTATCGTCAAGGCGAAACTAGAGCCTCGACAGAGGTTCCTGGAAACGATTTAGCTCAAAAGATGCTTATCAAAATTGCCTTTGCCGGACAAAAACTATTATAAATAGTATTAATTAAATCTTTGACCAAAGTGTGCGCCTTTTCTTGTTTCATAGGGATTGTAATTCCGATCTGTTTTCTTTATTTGGCCTTGGCTTTAAAGTAGCATGGCCTACAGTTTTCATTTGCTGTCTGTTTGCAATATTTGGGCTTATCTTGTTTCGTGTTTTCACAAATGGTATTAGTTTTAATCGCTCTAATTCGTCGCAGGCCACATGGTGTGCAATACAATCACGAACAGAAGCTATGGCCAAAGTTCACCTCAACAAGCTATCTCGTTTTATTAGTCGTGAAGCGTAAATGGCAACCTTTTTAAAGCTCCTTGCCTGAATGAAAATTATCAGCTCTAATCTGCGGGTAGACCTCTCCCGCCAGACTGTCACAAATATTTCAGTGTGGTTTCACGGCGACTGATCTCGGCTTCTTTGGTATGAAATTAGCTGTCTTATAGGAATGACATCGATCAATATTAAATATTCATGCTGTCACTTGTTAATCATCACGCACTCAGGTCACAGACGTCGACTATTCATGGCTGAGTGCCTTTGTCGCGAACACACGGCTCACACGCTTTGCTTCTGAGGTGAAAGCTTCGTCAATAGACCCGCCGGCTCTTGGCGTTTAGGCCCAAATTAAGTCTCTGCATGCTGGTGGAAGAGTTGTCAGCGATGATGAGATTCCTTATCCTGTCCTTAGTTGTCTACATGTGTTCAGCCCAAGGTTAGTGCGCTATTTGTTCAGAAGTTGTGAGTTTGTTTTCGTTTGATTGTTCCAGTTGTATATTCAATTACCCTAGGGGAAATCGACCATCTTTATAGAATCTTAGCAAGTCATTGCTTATTTTCCAAGATGAGTAAAGTGGTGTCCGAACCTTACAGCAAAACGTTAACTTGTAACTATCTTTGCGATTAATTAATTTACTACATCTGATCTAGTAGAGTTTGGCGTGATTAAACTGTATTCAGCGAACGGACAAGCTGTCAGAGGGCGCGGTGTGCAAGTCAAATTGCCCTGCAATACACTTAAAACAGCACAAAGAGCGCAAAATTAACCTAGTCTTCCAAACCGCCGAGTCTCTCATTAGAAGATTGAAAGCGAATTAGCTGCCATTTTGAATAGGGGGAAACGGATGTTGCTATATAGAGTGTTTGAAAGAGGAAGTCGGTAATCTAATATCGAAAAATTTCTTTACAAATTCACTTGTGAAATATTTTAACGCCATAACATGCTATAAACTAAAGGCATTATCCAGATTGATCATCATTTGCTGTCCATCGTTTGAGAGCTGCAGTTAAGGCAGATCGTCGCGTTATTTAAGGGACACTTTCACGGTTTGGCGTATGTGCAAACTGCAGCTTGGGCAAAAAGTATATTTCTCACTTTCTTGCTGGATCACAAGCGATACGGCAATTATAGACTACAATTTGTGCAAGCAGAATGACTGACTGATACTCAAATTTAACCAAAGAAATCAACAGGTTTGGAGAGAAAATGTTAAATTTAGTATTAACAGTGGAATTTCTTATTCGCGCCGACGGATTATATATCATATCTGGACACCGCACAAGTTCTCTACTCGTATGCGATTGGTTCATAAACATTAATTGTCACTTAGCTTAGAAGAGTATGGTAGTCTGAACATATCGAAATTAAATGATTTCCAATTATAAGAAATATCACATCTATTGCCGTATTTCCTTGCTTGACTTCTCGAAAAATGTTCAGAGGAAATATTCCCACAAGAGTCACGAACTCGTCTTCCATAAATTTATAAACAATGGAATCGAAGGGGGGTAACATTACAGCTTGCATAGACTAGAGATAAGAAATCATCGTTATGAATTTCTCTGTAAAGGCTTTGGAAGTTACTGTTTACAGATAAAATGGACAATTCGAAACATTATTCCGTCTGGAGTATAATATAAAACAGTATAATATTTCATGCATTATTTAAACAGGAGTTATCGATCATCAGATAACCATATAAAGAGTGAACAGCTTGTTAACAGAAATAGTGGACTGGACTTGTGGAATTGAGAAAAGGAGACCTCGTGTTCTTGTAGAATTGGAACATTGCATACATTACAATCAAATTTCTTCGTAATACCTTTACGATGTTTAATATCATGAGTAGTGTTTATATCCAATCCTGTACGGTCGATGAATGCATTATAACTTGAAGCATTCAAAACTGCATGGATTCAACTTTAAAGTGCGATATTAATTATATTACAATATTTTAGCTATATTTCAACACATTAATTATATTTAATTATATTATAAACATGCAAGAGGTAAGTTATGCCCTGTGAAGTCACAATGGGCGGTAAAAGTAATCGAGACACTTGAAAAACGACGCTGTGCGACATCTAACCCCTTAGACAAATGCATGCATCAAGAGTTCTCTGAAAATTCAATATTGCACAGTTGTTGTGGTCTGATTAAGA